CAAAAAGTTGTGCTTATGAAAACATATTAACTGGATATGGAATTGATCGTATTTGTAGTACAATTATTATTAACAACTCCTTATGTATTACAAAAAAAACCAAAATTTTTATTGACCACCATTTTTTTCTTAACACACTGTATCTCAAGACGGAATATTTATCCAATCTTTACAGAAAGCATGTAAAGATAATAGTCTTCGGTACAATGACTTTCAAATTGCCTTTACCATTCTGCGTCAAAAATTTCCATGGACACGAACAATAAATTGCGATCTTGGTCCACAACGAAGTTTTGTATTAGGAGTCATGTTTCGCCATTTCAATGTTCCGTTCGATTATTGTAATAAGGATGGTAAACTGGATGATTACCCATATGAAGTCTAGATTTGCACTTTTCTTATGATCTGTTATTGATTTTATATAAATGAGTAATTCCGGCTCCCAAAGTTTACCTATTAAACATCATAAAAGTTATGAGGCACTTTCAGGAAAGCGAAAAGGAAGATTTATTTGTTGTATAATAACAAAAGTCGATGTGCAGATAAATTTGCGCGCTGGTTCAGGCTATGGATTCCTTGGGGATAACTTGAGTAATAAATATAAACTCATAATTGAGAATGATTCGCGAGAAAAAGCTTCTTGTGATTTGTTATTGCCAAAAGTTATTGTGTTGGAGGAGATTTTGCGAGGCATAGGTTTTTCTTCGGGCGTTCACACATAAAGACTTTGATGCTAGCTTATCAAGCTTCTTACCAATCTATAAGACCGCATGCTAACTACAACTTGAAATACTTTACAGAGTTTCTGGAAAGGCCACTAAAGGAATTCAAGGTATCACTTGATCGAGTAAAAATCAGCCTATGCACTTGAGACTTAAAATAGATGAGCACTCTTCCCATTGCTCGTTCAAGCGATAATACAACGACGAATCCGCCAAAATCAAATCTCAATTGTACAGTTGAGAAGAAAATGTCTGAGCTCTCGATTTCTTCGTCTTCAGAATTTCTTATCAAAGACATAGATAATCTTATCCTTCTTTTACAGCAAAAATGTCGCGAGAAAAATTAGAACAATGGAAGGCCAATATTGCCTTTGAATTTCGGGATAATACAAATTACTGGGTAAAAGTATGAACGAGGATGATTTCTTAAAACATAAGCGGGAATATGTAGCCCGCCTTGGTATTCCTACTACTCCATACAAAAAAGAATTACGTAAACTTTCTTTGATATCTATTGAATACGTATAATGGTCTTAATTCGAATAGAAGTGTAAATCAGGTAAATTTTTGGCGACTGAAGATTGTGGTTCAGCGAGTTATTTATCCAGGTCACAAGTAAGGGGATTGTTACTATCCTTACTGAAAAACTTCAAATTGAAAACCCAATCTCTTAATACTTGAATCATATATGAGGGGTTTTGCATTATAGTCTCATCTTACATGCGTAATAAGACATCATTATTTATACACTTACGAATTGTTTTTATCGATATCTAAGATCCAGCTAAACAACGTTAAAAAACGTGCCGATTGCTGTCCCCAAAAAATTTTTCGCACTAAGGTTATGAAAAGAGGCCAATATTCGGTAATAAAGATAAAGATAAAAATTCTAAAACAGAAAAAAGACATATTGTTTGCAATTTGCAATATATTAATATACTTGGCGAAGCTGGCATGGCTAATATTTGCGAATCAACTTCCGCGTTTTGGAGACCAACGAGCGTGACAATGATATCTCAGAATGTAAATCATGACATCATCGTCCAATATAGTTAGTCCAATATTATCTGCGAGTGTTAATGCGTTTTTGATAAATTACTAATAATATTAATCGCATTCCGACAAGCATCTGCTTTCAGTCGTATCGAATTTCAGAAGTTCGAATAAAATCAATTGCAGACTATATTATTTCAACGGTTGGATTTTAATAAGGACATTTTATTTAATCTTTCGCGTCCGAATTAGAGAACCTTTCGAACTATTACATTTTGAAACTTTAATACTTTTAACGTTCGAACTTAATTAAAATCATGCCGTGTTTTTATAATTAGCCGCAGTCAATTTGATCGAAAGGAATGCAATATTTGGTGACTCACAAAATAATTATTGTTATTATTATTTAGTTATTTTATTATTATTAAATGACTGCGGTAGCGCAACGATCATTTGATGATGAAATACGATCTTTGTATATATAAACGGCGGTTGCTCCTGGCGATTCAAAATCGTTGGTGACTTATTCATGGTTATATCTCTGGGCGGTTATATCTTACTTTTACTTAGCAATGGCCATTGTGAATATAGTACTTCCATCGCCAATTACAAAGTTCTGTAGAAGGCTATAATTTCGAAATCTTAAGGCATTTGTAACTGTAAATTTAAGGATAGTAATATTCACGATTTTTCTACAAGAGTAAGAGCAATTTACACATTGCTTCAGTATCGTGAAAACTGGGATCTGAAAAATCTTCAAGACGAAGCTTTTCATTTCTGCGAAACCAATCGACTCGGCCACTGACTGAATTCTGCTCTTACTAATTTATCATTATTATGATGGCGTCTTGGGCTCATGCGCCGATCATTCAAAATCAGTAAGCGTAATCTTTAACATTCCAAAAAGCACAATCGAGATGTATTTCGTTACGACACTATTACACGTTGTTGACACTGTTACTGTCAACAGTAGGACATTGACAAATTCAACAGTAGTCAGGATATTCATGTGTGCAAGTGTGTGTGTATCAACAGACGTATATATAACTACAAGTAAAACAGCAACCTGTGCTCGCTCTCTTCCCATCTTTTTTACTAACAAAGCAAATGCTTAACGTTATCCCAGTGACCGTTCCTGGCTATGCTCAACCATTGGTTGAAGCGTGCACAGCTTGGCTTGTGACCACTTTCTTTTCAATTCCAGTGTCCTTTTTTCGAATTTTCATCGAGGCTCCCATTGACGTATGGAGGTCATTGTCTTCCAGCGATCCGGACGTTGTGTTGATTACCGGCGCAAAGTAATTGCTGATGGTTTGTTGGTGGGTGTTGTGACATATAAATGGATTATATCACAAAGTCCTTTCCTTTTTCTAAATATAGCTCTGGCATTGGTGCAAGTTTGGCTGAAACATATGCAAAGCCTGACGTTACACTTGGACTCTTGGCTCGTGATGGTTTGTATGGTGTAGGAATGCAAATATGGATAAGCTAAATAATATTAATAACAATGCTATAATTATATTGCAGAGGGTAAGTACGGACAAAGGAATAAGCAATAATGCTGTGGAATTAAAACTTGTTATCTGATAAAGCTTGTGTCATGTCAATAGAACGCCTTGAACTGATAGCGGAAAAATGTAGGGATAAAGGAGCAAATGTAATAACAATTAGTTGTGATATCGCTAATAAGGAAGACCTGGCCGGGGCTCTCATTGAATTCGATGAGAGCAATCCAATTGATTTGCTAATTGCTAATGCTGGTGAGACAGAAAAGGCTTTTGAATAAGTACTCGGTCATTGTCAAAGGGATACTTACTTCATATCAGGACAAGCAGGCGTAACGGATGACGGTAGTGCATGGGAGGACTCTTGGCAGGGCATCATGGATGTCAATCTTAAAGGCACCATTAATACGGTTATGACAGTGTTCAAATTAATGGAGGAGCGACCTCATATAGGAGGACAGATTGCAAGTATGTATAATCTGACGTGATTATGTAGTTTATGGAAACATATTTAAAACGCGCGTCAAATATCTATATTTACGTACATATTCTTTGCTCTCACACCTTCTTCGCATGGATGGTTGTCTATTAGTCACTTCGTCGGTAGCCGCCTGGCATGCACCACCACAGCTGTGCTATTACAGTGCCACAAAAGCTGCCCTGACCTCTTTGGGACGTGACCTACGCTACATCGGCCGTAATTACAATATCAAAGTCAATGTCATCGCCCCCGGCCTCATTGGTACCCGAATGACTCTTGGTGAACGGAAACCATACCCCTTTTCTTCTTGGTTCACCGCGTCTCCTAAGAATTTAGCAAATATTATAAGATGGAATTTGTTCGAGGATAACTTCGTCATTACTTGGCCATACCATCAGTTTCTGGTAGACTTAGCGATAAGTTCTTTACCTCCGAGAGTCTTGGATAGCGTGCAATGGTTAATTGGTGGAGCTTGGAGTGTAGTCAGCCCAGCCGAGGATAAGCCGCTGACTTAGGGCTGGCGAGTAAGCGCTACTCTGCAACTCCTTAAAGTTGTAATATTGGAAGAAATTAAATACAATAGTTGTAGTTCATCATTGTCGTTATAATGCACGTGTGTTTCATAATGGATACCTGAATTAGCCAAGCTTGTATAGCCGGAAAATATTGGCACGATGCCTACGAATATCGATTTGGTGAGCTATATGTAATTTCATGTAGCCAGTCTAAATCATCGTATAAGGATCAAGGTCTTCGTGGTTGACGGTGTATGCGAACTGCGTGAGGATTATACGCTACTGTAAATCAATTCATGTATTACACGTAGATGCCACTGTATATTTAATCTTATAAATGGATAGTTAACTGGTGAAATAGTAGCAATTTCGCTAGCAAACATAATCCCAACATTCTATCCTCAAATCTTTAATTCAGATTCCCTGGGTAGAGAGGAACGGAAATAATATCTGGTATAAAACTCAAAAGTCGATATTACGGACTAACATGCTGGTCCCGAACAGTCCGTTATATCGACTTTTCACTGTGCAAATGACGTTAATGGCTATTCTATGCCAAGAATAATCGATCTTGTCCATCGGTTGGCAAATACGAGTGGTATTAATTGTCACTAAACGCGTTTATATGGATATAACAGATAAATTAATCCAGCGATAGGCTATCGGACTCGAGGTTAATTATTAACCGATTATTTGAGAATCGTGAATATAGATAAAGCCAGTCACAAGGTATTAGAGATTTACGCAGGAGCAGAAATTAGCCAAGCCCAAGTATTATTCGCTCTCCCCTCGACTTTAATATCTTATTCTTATTATTACCGTATATGGATAGTACTTACACATTACAACCAACGGATATAATGTTACAAATTTGAATTCCAGAATCTACACGTCATATTTCTTTAAAGAGATGATGGCTAAAGCGGAGTAGAACGTGACCTGATTCTTGCAATTACATTGGTCAAATCTGTATATCAGCCAATGAAATTGTAAAAAAACTACTCCGCTTTAGCCTACCCCTTTAAAGAGGATGGCGCGTGTCAACAAGAGAACTAAAAGTAGAAAATGTGTCTGTAATTCTTACGATCACGAGACTAAACAGGGTGACGACCAAGCAGCGAACCCATGACTTCATATTAAATCAAACCAGTTAATTTTAGAGCTTCCGACAACATTAATTGACAAGTGATCAAGAAATGAGTGACGTGGTAATGTGTTGACAAACCAGACGAGCCTGAAGAGCAGCCTCTACTAAAGTGCAGGGAGCTACAGAATAGGCTTAAATCCTAGTTATCTTGTTAAGCATTCAATTAACTCGAATAGACAGTATCTTTCCAAGAGGGAAATAGAATAAAATATGGTATAATCATCTTGGCATTTAATATCGAAGTTTGCCTTATTTTGTTTACAGGTCAAGCTTAAAGCGAAAGAACTTATAAGAAAATGACATTACTTTGACAAAAAGTACGGGTAATTAACAACCATCAAAGCTTGCACTGTTTATAGTCAAGTCGAATTCGAACCTAGATCAGAATATGTATAAATTATCGTTCGACAGTTGGAATTTTCGTTTGAACGTTGGACTTAATGACAATGTGTCGACCCGATGGTCTTACTGTGAGGAAATTTTCGCAATGGATACACCTAACTAACTATATTGGTAATGAGTTTTGTGAAAAATGCTGGATTAAATGGGGCAAGTATAAAAGATTCTTTTGACATGGATTTACTATAAATAAATCTTCATTAAATGGACGTGCTACAAAAATGTGATTTCACACTCCTAACATTAATATTAAGGAATGTTAAACATTCTTTGTAAAGTCGGCCAGCTATTTTTCATAACATTACGGCCCTTAGTTTACGTAAACATTTACGGAAATACATCCTTCACAGATCACTAATAGGCGCAGTCCATTGTAAAGTAGATAAAGGCTGTTGTGAAATGTAGTAATTTTAGCATTTGCTAATTGTAATTGATGATACCGGCGTCTATACTCTAGCTAAATAAATTATCGGTCAAGATCCACTTGCGAAGCCCATAAGCTTGGCGCATTAATCGATTGTTCGCCGCTTGTAACAATTACGTCAATCAGTGTCAGAATGGAAGGACCTGAACGGAAGAGATATTGATTGTGGGAGAAAGAAAATGTTCTCTGACACCAATGACGTCAATTGTGATGTCGCGTATAGGGAAAATATTAGTTATAAGCTTCTCATCAACTCTCGCAAAGAATCACAAATCTTATACTCGTAGCAACGTTAAACAAAGCTGTATATCATGAAGAATATAACGGCACTCGTTGTATTTCTTGTCTTTCTGGCATGCAATGTACTTGCACAATCGGTAAGTTAAAAGTAGCCTGTGATGAGAGTTGCGATTGTATAATCAAATTAAACTAACACTTTTCTTCTCATTTTTCTATTTAGACTGTTGTAGTGGTTCCCTCGGTATGTATTTTTTTGGTTTGCTATAATATCAGCAGCCATATTCTCTGTTGATGTTTATATTGTTTATTTAAATTTGCTTGTCGTCGAAACAACAGGCAACCACAACTACGACTGTGACGCCATCAACTCCGGGCCAGGCACCTGCAGCAACAACAACAACAACACCACCATCATCATCATCCTCTGCTACGTACACGACTTTCACTTCTACGTCTGGTGGGATCGTGCAGACGATAACGTCAGCAGTCCCAACTAGCACTAACACCCCTTCGGCTGCAAAATCAATGATCAACCTGCCCTTTTGGATCCCTCTGCTACGGGGCGTGCTGCCACGAAACCGCTGATGCCATACTAGCACTGAGAGTCCTTCTCTGTTCACTTTGTTGTTTTAATATTCGACAACTTTTCAAAGATTACAAGCAGAGTAGTAAACTCTAAACTATGGCTTATTGTTTCTGCCTTGTTTAGTTACTTAATTAGTTTTATTCGAAATAGTGATTTTGTGAACTTGCCGTTCGATTCTAATAATATTATTAAAAACTAAATTGATTATCGATATACGTAATCCTGATCGAGTTGCTTACTACTATACTGCCATGCTAGAAATTTATTTAGACTTTTGTGATTTGGGGACGATATTGTTTTCAGATCCTAGCCATTCCAGGCGTCTTACGAATGGACGAATTCGATAAGCTCGTAAAATATCATGTCTGTGGATTTAACTTACGGGCCGACGATGATGCTATTACTTTGTGAAAATCGGACGACAGTGATTATATGAAGGGAAATACATTAATGAAGTGCGCGTTGTGTCGTGTTGTATCGATACCATGTTAATTCGAGAAGTTGCCTGCGATGAATCGGGTGCTGTCGCGTCACGCAGCCAGAAGAGTATATATATAGTTCAACCATTTTCCAAAAGGGCATCTCTGAGAAAATTTTCAATTTAATTTATTATGAACACGTTTGTATTGAGTAAATATATAAATATGAATTTCAAGATTTTGAATTTAGCAAAGCTTTTTATCATACGGGATATGATATAATACTCTGCATTATCTCATTGACATTCTTTTTATCGAATTCGTGTAACAATTGACAGGCTTTTTTTCCCGAATTCTGAAACGGAGTGAAAATGCAATCTTGTTATTGCCTCCCAGTGATAGCTGACGTGGCTCATATTAATCGTAGTCTTCAGTTCCTTTGGGCATACTTGAAGCATTAATATGCAAAGGAAACGTAATAGAATGTGAGCTTAGCATAAGGCAACGTCGGCTAAATTTAGTCAGAAGGCAGCCTGCAGTGAGACTTGGTATCGTCTTGCGGAACTTTCAATGTACTGTCATTCATCAAGCATAACATCCTCAAAGATATCTTCAAAGTCGCTCCCAGGACTTTTCTGTATAAAATTAAAACACGACGAGTCAACAGACTCTCGAACAGTCTGCAGCTGTTGGGTTGCAGTTTCCTGCGTGGTTTCTGTGCAAGCAAAAAAAGTTTGCGAATTATCAGATAATGTTTCCCATTCAGACAATTCATCTTCAGCCCATTCACTGTCATCAAAGTATTCAAACTCGTCCATATCGTCTATGTCTGGGACGTGATATACGTCGTCTCGTAAACTGTCATCGAATTCATCAAGCTTTTTGAGCATTTGTAGCTCACTCTCGGCAGGCAGCAAGTTTGGAGAGATTTCTTTCGACGCACTGCTTGGATGGAACAATTCTCCTATAAAATCCAAGTCTTCGCTTTTAGCATCTAGCACTGTTAATAGATCCAACTCATCCGACGAGATAAAGTTTTCGACAAACAAGTCTCCCTCAAAATTGGCTGCTGCATTTGTATCGGAAATTTTTGGCTTTTGTCTTTCTTCCGCCGATATGGAATTATCCGAGTGAATTCTCTTGCCCAAGGAAGATAAACCCTTGTTTATAGATCGAGAATCTATGCGAATGTTGTTAGTCCGTTTTTTCTTATACTTCTCGTCGCTTGATGATTGCTAATTGAATGTTAATTAGTAATATTAATATATTGTAAGGCAAACTTATTATCGATGATATTTACCTCTACAAGTGGTATTACGGGAATTTTGATTTTTTTTGCAACAGCATGTAGACCAAGACTAATAATATTCTTTGTTTTGTCCTGGGACAGCTTTTCGGGTGTCCCATGACCCATATAAGATGAAAGATTAATGTTGCGAGAAGTTTGCTGTTGATTTAAATGAATGTTATTGTATTAATAAAAAATGTCAACATTCTAATATCGTATGACGTTTACTTACATCGACCAGTCCCATCGCTGTTGACCAAAAATTTGGAGTTGGGCTGCCGAATATTATTCGTGTAAATGATGTTGATATGATTGGAATATATTTGGAAATAGCGTCTAAATTCTAAATGAAAACACCACAGTTAGCACAGGCAGAGGGAAAAATGTATCCGGCAATGTTAGATTTATTCATACAGCTGCGTATTCCGGTGAGAATATTAAAGGATACCGAGGAATTAACAAATTACGCATAGCGATTCGAAACACCATATCGATGGCAGCAATTTCGGATGATTTGCGTTGTATTTTCTTGCTAACAAGCTTGTCATGCAATACTTTGGTGTGTACTACACGGATGGCTCAGTCAAGGACTAAATCTTGAGGTGTAGCATTTCATGAACGGATTTCTTGCTCAAAGGATATTTTCTGTATTCCAGTTGAAGGCAAAAGTCACTTCCATCAAATACCCAAATAGTTGTGAATCGCGGTCGAGTGGAAGCGAATAAGACGTTTCACTGGATGCATATAACCAGTATCCTGGTAACACACAACAAAGTTAACCAAAAAACGAAAAGAATGTTGATAAACAGTTGTTTTTCCCTACTTCGGTTGTACTTGCGACCATCATCGTCGGTGGCGGCAATAACACGGGAGAAGCCAAATTGTTTCCATAACTAACAATAGACAAAAGACAAGAAGCATTTGAATTATTACCGGGAGTTTTTGCTGATTGAATTTAGGACAAAAGTTACGCATTACTTCGGGCCGACAAAGTCGTCTTAATATAATGTTTTCTTTCTTAGTGTTTAAGCTATACATCTTGCCGTCTATTCTGTTTTCAAAGTATTTGTCATAATTTGTCGTTTATAGGTCAACATAATATATACGTGTAAATGTGTGAGCATTCAAAGACGCGCAATACAAGGATATATTGATGCAGAGTTTTCCGTTAGAGAGAGTCACGTCGATTTTTTTCACATCTTCCTCTTTTAGCTCGTTGCCAGTGGAAGGTGGATCAATGTTGTAGCTTATATGCTGGGTACAGGTAATTTTGAGGTTGTTAAAGGTCCGTACAGTGTTATTTGTCATCTTTTTGAGTTTTTGTGGCGGTAATAAAACGCTTGAAGTAAGTTTTACTTTGTAAATTGGATTTGGTTGTGTTGTAAGGTTTATTGGCGAAGCCATAATATTAATTGCGAAAGATATTTATTCTATCAAAACAATATTTCTAACAATTGGTTTGCCACAAGCAAGCTTACATATTTATCGCGTGATAAACCACAATCACTGACGCGTCGTTTATGAACGCACGCGGAACATAAAATGCAACTTCCGATTCGGACGGGGTTTAAAAAAGGTCTTATTTAATACATTTAAGTCTATTTATCTTATTAACCGCATTTCAAATACTCAAACCGATTTTTAAAAAGTGCCGTATTTATCCGAGTCATACGACAGCAAACGAGTAAATGGCTGGATTCGTTCTTACATTCGCCTGTCAAAACATTAGATAAGTGCTTATTAGTTCTACGGTTAGGTACTTGATTGTTAATATTAATGTATTTAGTTATAGCACATACCCAATGACTTCCGCTTAACGCACTAAGAACATTTTCAACGACTTGACGAGTAAATTATCCAAGGCTATAAATCCCGCATTTCAGTATGGATGCTGATGCTTAAATATCAACACCATACTTACCACGCCAATTCAAAGTTACTGCGTAAGTTCTATGCTGGCATAGCATTGTCTTCTTTTGATTGGGCAGTTGGTGTAATATCCACAGCATACTGCGGGATGTTATAAAATTTTTTTGAGGAAGATCTGCTCGTTCAATTCGAGTAAGTGTGTGTGCCGAATTTATTACTATTACTGCGTCTTATTGCTTTATATAAAATTTCACCTGATTTGTTTTCACATTTTAGTCTCATCATCTTCCACAGATAACGGCGTCAAAATGCTTCGCTTATCCGATATCCTGAGACAAGATCAAATAGTAGAAGATGTGAAAGGGAAAGGGAAGGGAAAGGGGAAAGGGAAAGCAGTTTCTTCAGACCTTTCCACGAGTCTATACGATACCGTTACAAAGTCTCAAGCTCATATGGAACAGAATATCGAAAAATTTAAAGAAATATTACAACAGAGGGGGAGGTTGGTTTGATTTACGTTGTATTTTTGTTTATAAGACGCTGCTTTTGAATCTGATAGAAGTGATTTGTATATTTACTTTTAATGCGGTTAGCGAACCTGAAGGTGATCATTGTCTTTCACGTCCGTTTATGCTGGTTTTTGGCGATTGTTATGATGAGTATGCTAACGATATGTTCGCACGTTCATCCATGTTATAGTTGATATTCAGCATGAGCAAGAAGAATATGGTATCGATCTGCAATATAATAGTATACCGACATTATGCTATTATGAGTACTTAACTGAAGGTGAATCAGATGCTCTGGATGGCGGTGAAACAAGGGGTTCTTCACATTTTAATGAAATCTATGATAAAGATTGGCTTTTACTGTTCGTAGATTTATATTTAATGACTTGACACAGTGCTGTTTCTGTTTATCCGTATTATCGGTATGATTAAGTACGATATTGACTAGTACTGATTCAATGTTTTTGATTGATAATAACAGTCAATGTGAAATACATGTTTCGGAATATGGGGATAGAGAACTATCATTGACGCCCGAGGGAATATGTACTAACATATTCACAATATTGAGATCGGATAGAGAAGGTCAGCAAATTACATCGTGTTTCTACATGTATAAATACCACACAACGTGATTCTGATTTATATATATATTTTTTCACAACTGGTAGACGCTGACATCGAAGCATCACTAGTCGACCTTCTTGGATTTGACAATCTTGAATTTGTACAAAAATTAATAGTGAACAGACAAACAATAATAACCAATATTTATGCTCAAATTGATACTATACAGGTAACGCAGTTTTGTTAGATTATTTCTCTTTATTCTCTTTTCGCTTTATGCCAACAAACATCTTTTGTATTTCAGCCAAACAATCGGACTACATCGCTAAACTCGGAAGAAAAAAAATCCCAGCATGCTCCACGAATAGCACAGTCGGTAATAGTACATTCAGAAGCCGAGAAAAGGGAAAGCAAGTCAATAAGAAAAGAACAGAGGAGGGCAAAAGCAAAAAGTTAGTGTGGTTTGATAACAATGTTGTCGTCGTGCAGAGTACAATAAAATGCTGATTCGAAACTGTTGTTAATGACACGTAGACGGTGAAGATGTGGAATCAGCTTTAATACTCGGTTTCAATGGCGAAGAGCCCCATAGGCAGCGTGAAGAAACTTCCCGGGGCGCTAAAGACGTATATATGGTACGTATTCGGATTATGCTTGTCAAGGTTGTATCGCACCGCTCAACGCATTGATTTCTATAGCCAGAAGAAGTTCAATATCCTCATGTGTATGGCGCATCTCAACAAAGAAACATCTTATCGGTACTTGGTCAAAAGTTTGCATTACCGAATGGCACAAAGCGAGATGAGCGTGAGGTTTGTCAATTTTGCTACCCGTTTGATAACTATATCTACATTTATTGTTTAAGTAATTCAATTTTCAATTCAATTTTCAACATTTAATAATTATCAATTAGTATTACGAAGAAATAACAGTGCCGATGACGAAAACAGCAGCAACGAGGCCAGATGAAAATGTGATCTACATTAAAGATCTTGACGATTTATGCAGAGGATGTTTTCCTGAGGTTTGCAATCAGTGATTAAATTTTATTATCGAACGGACATTTGTTTCTAATAAGTTTCATATATGTAGTCCTATAAAAGCTTAAACCGTGTTCAATCACAAGTATTCGAGACAGCTTACCATACAAATGAAAACATGTTAATTTGTGCACCGACCGGAGCCGTATGTATAATGATCACTATGAACTTTGTGAAACTTATTAATGCCAGAATACTAATTTTATTTTTCATCATTTTTCATTGTCCAATGACGTAAAGGGTAAAACTGATATCGCTTTACTTACCATTCTTCGCACCATCTCTAATTATTCCCAACCGATACCCTCAATCATATCCGAACAACCGAAGTTTTATATTGCTAAAAATGAATTCAAAATTATTTATATCGCGCCGATGAAAGCGTTAGCTGCTGAAGTGGTTAGAAAGTTTCAGAGCCGACTAGATTGGTTAGGGATCCAAGTTAAAGAGCTGACTGGTAATTTTTTAACAAGGATCGAGTTTGATATGATGTTGGAATAAACATGAAATTGATTATCGTAATTATCGTCGACAGGTGATATGCAATTGACGAGGCACGAAATAACATCTACACAAATCCTAGTCACTACACCTGAAAAATGGGATGTCGTTACTAGGAAGAGTACAGGAGACGTTGAACTGGTGCAGGTTGGTTTCGGCATTGGAACACTAACTAATTTGTCTGAAGATGTTAGTGTTCAAAGCATAATTAAATTTTTTGATGTCACTAGAAAGTGAAGTTGCTAATCATTGATGAAGTTCATCTTTTACACGACGATCGAGGCTCTGTGCTCGAGTCCGTTGTGGCACGTACACTTCGACAGGTATTGTATACTCTTTTGTTTTAATTTTGATTTTTTATCATTATAAATACATTCTCAGTCTGTATCCCCTATCTGTCGTTTGTGGTGTTTTTTCTTTTAATAGGTTGAATCTACTCAGAAACTGATTCGTATCATTGGACTATCCGCTACATTGCCAAACTATGTAGATGTGGCCCATTTCCTAAGGTAAATATTTGTAGTAATCTGCGTGATATGTTATAATACTAACAAAACACGATTACTTTCAGAGTTAATCCACACGTTGGAATGTTTTATTTTGGAGGTGGATACAGACCAGTGCCCTTAGAGCAACACTTTATTGGTGTAAAGGAAAAATCTGGAACCGCTGCGTCTTCTAGGAATTTAAATAGAGCCTGCTGGGACAAGGTATTGTATTTTTTAAACATAGATTCATTACCAAACATTCGGATTCAACCTTTTCTTTCTACGTAAATTTTTAAGGTGTCTGAGTTGATACGTGAAGGACGTCAAGTTATGGTGTTTGTACATTCCCGGAAAGATACTGTTAAAACTGCAAATTCTATTCGAGAATTTGCTATATCCGAGGGCGTATCCGGTATGGTTCTTGCATAGATGCTTATTTTAAAGTGGTAAGGCAATATAGCATTCATAGTTTAATACCATCCCCTTAGATATGTTGGAGCCTGTTCAGAATAATTATTTCAGCTTCGCGGATCGTGAAGTCTCCAAGTCGAAAAATAAGGAATTGAAAGAATTGTTTGGTTCTGGCATCGGTATCCATCACGCTGGGATGTTGAGATCAGACCGTGGACTTGTGGAAAAACTGTTTGAAAAGGAAGTACTAAAGGTGAGTATTATAAGAATACAAATAGATTGTTCATTTATTCTTATTGTATTACTAACGGTCATCTCTTCCATGTAGATCTTGTGCTGCACATCCACTCTCGCTTGGGGAGTTAATTTGCCAGCATATGCAGTTATAATCAAAGGAACTCAAATTTATGATTCCACAAAAGGTACTTTCGTAGACTTGTCAGTTCTTGACGTGATGCAGATATTTGGCAGAGCTGGTCGGCCGCAGGTATGTTAGTAAAGAAGGCTAGTTTTGTAGAAAGTGGCAGATGGATGTTTAATGCTGGATACTAATTTCCTCTGAAACACAGTTCAAACATCCTGGATATGGTTATCTTCTTACCACACACGACAAATTATCAATTTATGTTTCGGCGATGACTCAACAGCACCCGATTGAATCAAAGTATGTGACTTGATCGCAAATTACATACCCCGATGACTAGTTTGTTATATTTTAACTATATAGTTTCTAACTAACCTGCAACAATTTAGATTCGCGCAAAATGTTATCGATAACCTCAATGCCGAAATATCTCTCGGCACGGTAACAACTGTCGATGAAGCTGTTCAATGGTTAGGTTACACTTATCTGTTCGTACGCATGCGCAAGAATCCTTACGTCTATGGAATGAAGCTCGACGAACCTGTTCGTGATCCACTACTTGGGAAACGTCGTCGCGATCTTGTTATCGATGCAGCAAAGATATTGCAAAAAAATCAAATGATTACATTCATAGAGAATACCGGAAGTCTTTCTGCAAAAGATCTCGGTCGTGTTGCATCGAATTTCTATGTCAGATATAGAAGCATAGAAACGTTTAACGCACGCATGAAACCAAGGATGACTGAGTCTGAAGTGCTGGCAATGATCAGTCATAGTAGCGAATTTGATCAGATAAAGTCAAGAGAAGAAGAATCAATGGAATTGGGAAACTTGCAAAAGATGTTCTGTCCATATGATATTAGAGTGAGTGTTACAAGCCGGATATTGGATCTCTTCGTTAATCTAATCAAATTTAAATATTTCATAGGAAACAACAGATGCAACGCCTGGAAAAGTGAACATTCTACTCCAATCCTACATATCTCAAACCAAATTAGATGACTTTTCTCTTATATCCGATTTAGCCTACGTATCCCAAAATGCGGCAAGATTAGTGAGAGCTCTCTTTGAAATATCCCTTAACCGTTGTTGGAGTGAAACCACGATCATATTACTGAATATCGCCAAATGCATCGAGAAACGAATGTGGGAAGACAACCATCCCTTACGACAGTTTCATCTACCTGAAGAGATAATCAAGAAACTGGAAGCACACGGTCATCAACACACAATCGAAGAATTACGGGATATGGCCCCCAATGAATTAGGTCAACTAGTGCGTCACGTAAGAATGGGACGAACAATTTCAAGGGCTCTAGATCAGTTTCCGTCTGTTGATGTCGAAGCTGACATTGTGCCCATTACTAATACTGTGCTCAGAGTAACTGTCACAGTCACTCCGACTTTTGAGTGGAACGACAGAATTCATGGAATGATTGAGCCATGGTGGATATGGGTTACCGACCCGGATAGTACTGAAATTCATCATTCTGAATACTTTCTGATCGGTAAGCGAACTATTGGAGAATCTCGGAGAATCGGCTTTACTATTCCCATCCGTGATCCGTTGCCATCGCAAATATATATACACGCCGTGTCCGATAGATGGCTGGGGGCAGAAACAATGATACCTGTTTCCTTTCAACATTTGATTTTACCGGAAAGGTACCCGGAATTCACTGAGCTGCTAGATCTGCAACCATTACCAATTACAGCGCTGCAAGATGAAGTATTGGAGAAAATATGTGCCGAGAGATTTCTACACTTTAATCCCATTCAAACTCAGATATTTCATACAGTGTATTATAATGATGTTAATGTCTTGATTGGAGCACCAACTGGATCAGGAAAGACGGTCGCGGCCGAGCTGGCTATGTGGTAGGTTTTTTTTGTAATCCTGAATGGATTATGAAGCCTTAACATTTCGTTCTTGCTCGATACCTTTTATGTAATGTTATTTTTATTTCGTAAAATGCTTACTCGCCTCTTGTATTTGTTTGTCAGGTGGGCGTTCCGTGAGAAACCTGGCTCTAAAGTGGTCTACATTGCTCCTCTTAAAGCCCTTGTCCGAGAGCGAGTGGACGATTGGCGCAAAAGGCTAACAATCCCGATGAACAAACGCCTCGTCGAACTGACTGGCGATGAAACGCCTGATACGCGCACTATGAAAAATGCAGATATTATTATCACTACTCCCGAGAAATGGGATGGTATAAGTCGTAGCTGGAAGAATAGAAGTTACGTACAGGCTGTTTCATGTGTTATAATTGACGAAATTCATCTCTTGGGTGGAGATCGTGGCCCCGTATTAGAAGTCATAGTATCCAGAATGAACTATATTGGAATGCAACAAGACAGAAAAGTCCGTATTGTCGGATTGTCCACTGCCTTAGCCAATGCTTACGATCTATCAGAATGGCTAGGTATCAATGAAATCGGGTTGTTCAATTTTCGACATTCTGTGCGTCCCGTTCCATTGGAAATTTATATTGAAGGGTTTGCTGGAAAGCATTATTGTCCTCGAATGGCATCTATGAATAAACCTACGTTCATGGCAATTAAAACACACTCGCCCACCCAATCAGTTATTGTATTCGTATCTTCAAGACGGCAAACGCGCTTAACTGCTCAAGATCTTATTACTTACTGTGGAATGGAGGATAACCCAATAAGATTTCGGTATATTGATGATGATGAGTTGGCCATGGTTGCGGCAAAAGTTAAAGATAATAGTTTGAGAATGTCGCTTCAGTTTGGAATTGGATTGCATCACGCTGGATTGGTCGAGACCGATAGGAAGATAGTCGAGGAACTGTTTGTGACTCAGAAGATTCAGATACTCGTGGCTACGAGTACGCTGGCGTGGGGAGTTAATTTTCCGGCCCATTTGGTCGTAATTAAAGGTACCGAATATTATGATGCGAAGACAAGGGGATATGTTGATTTCCCTATTACAGATATATTGCAGATGATGGGGAGAGCAGGTGAGTAGTACTATTTGTTGTGTGGAATAATAACCCATTCTCCGGAAAATGGAACAGCCACGTCAAGTTGTTCATACATATGCTCAACAATTTATGTATACGTAATATTCCTAGGTCGTCCACAATATGATACTACCGGAATAGCTTGCATATTTGTTCAAGACGGAAAGAAAAACTTCTACAAAAACTTCCTTCATGAGCCATTCCCCGTAGAATCCAGTCTTCATCTTACTCTACACGATCACTTCAATGCAGAAATAGCTAGTGGAACAATATCATCTAAACAGGATGCAATGGACTATCTCACCTGGACGTACTTTTATCGACGCCTATTCAGAAACCCCAGCTATTATGGCCTCGAAGAAGTAGACCACGCGGCAATAAACATGTTCTTGTCCAAGCTAATAGAAAACACGATAAATGACCTTGCTAACGCTGGATGTGTCGAAGTTATTGATGACCTGGAGCTTGCGACTACGTCTTATGGCCTATTTGCTAGTTACTATTATTTGAGTCATAAGACTGTCGGAAGATTTAAAGAAAGATTGAAGAGGGATTTGGGTATTAAAGAGTTGCTGGTACTTTTGTGTGATGCGGAAGAGTATTCGGAATTGCCAGTTAGACATAATGAAGACGTGCTGAATAGAGAAATGCAAAAGGACGTCCGATGGACTGTCGGCGCAGATACACCTTATGACAGTCCATCGGCTAAGGCGTTTCTATTATTACAAGGACATATGGATAGAATGAAGTTGCCCATTGCTGATTATATTACAGATACAGTGTCAGTGCTCGATCAAGCGGTGAGAATATCACAGGTATGTTAATTATTTGTAACATGAGTAAACTATTAAACCCTTATGCCGCAATGTCCATTCTTACCAATTTTTTTTTCATACTTAGGCTATGATTGACATGGCAGCAGAGAATGGGTTATTAGCAACGACACTTAACATAATGAATATGGTTCAATGTTTAAAACAAGCGCGATGGCCAGATGACTCTTCGCTACTTACCATTCCTACTGTTGATCGCGAGTCACTGGATGATATCCGTGATAAGGTACAGATAGTGATTGTTGAGATTTCATATTGAAGTTGTGTTAACTTTTGTTTCATTGAATATATAGAATCGACATTTTGCTTGTCTAGCAGAATTAACAAACCTACGGGATAACGAAATTCAAGAGATATTTGGGAAAGTCCATAATGCCGATCCCGACAAAGTGAGGATTTATTTATATTACCTATCAATGACGATTTAATGCCGCTATACTTTATGACTGCTGTTTCGTTTGTCTAATTTTTCTGCCCGTTCACTTAAATCACTAAATTACAGATTCTCAAATATCTTCGAAACCTTCCATTACTCACTATATCCATCAGCGTCCCACAATCGTTCACTACTTCCACACTGGCATCTCTTCGCATAACTCTTGATCATCCATCACATAAACATTCATCTTCACCGCCGCGTGTTCACGCGCCCAATTTCCCTAAACCACAATATGAATCATGGTGGATAGTATTAGGCGACGCAAAGACTGATGAGTTGATCGCAATGAGGAGAGCAGTGTTGAGAGGAAAAGAGGCAAGAGTAAAGATAGATTTTTTTACACCAGACAGAGAGGGAGAATATAAGTACAGTGTGTTTTTGATATGTGACGGGTATTTGGGGATTGATCAGCAGGAGGAAATTACAGTTGTTGTTACTAATGCTAAAGCGTGATGCTATGGCTGTAGAATTTATGTAATATTTAATGAATAGTAATAGATTGTTTTCATAGATTATTATAAAAAAATCCCGGTGACAAATTACACGCAGCCAAAACACGTGCAAGGAATGGAACAAGTAATTTAATTTTCCTGAATTCTTAAGAGAGCAATCATAATAAAATCACTAGTTATTGCTTAGTGAAATATATTGACCGCATTATATTCTTTAAAAAATCGAGGCCCAACGCGAACTTTTTATAAAGTATGAAAATTTTGACGGACAGATTCGATGAGCTCGCGTGTATCATGCGCAATTAAACTTTGCTGACAACAAATATGCGGGCTCCGCTATTTCGAAAAAGTTATGTTCTAAGACAGTAAATAGTATTTTGCCTAATGAATATTACTTACTATGGTCCGGTGCAAAAAGATAGATACCTCAGATTATTGCAAATAAATTTTTTAAGAAAAATTTTTTCTAAAATCTG